CGCTCGGGGACTGCTCGCGGCTTGGGACGGGCTGGGCGTCGGTCGGCAGGTGGTGAGCAGTTGCGTTGTGCCTCATTCGTTTTGTGTATTCTGTATGTTCTGTTATCATTCTCATTATTACTATTATTATTTTCTCTTATTAAACGGTCTTTATCTCAGCCCTCGGCTCTAACCTTTTATTTTCTTTCCGATTCTCTCCCCCATCCCACTGAGGGAGGGAGGGAGTGAGCGAGCGGCTGCGTGGTGCTGAGTTGCCAGCCGGGTTAAACCACGACAAGTTGGTTCAGAAATATTTTTAAAATCCAACCTCTCTTCCCCAAAATTATCAATTTTTATCAAGCATTTTACCAGACACATTTCATTCCTCCCCCTGGTTACATTTATTTTGTTTTCCACTTTGTTCTCCTGTTTCCACAAAACTGAGAGCACGGCACATTATTCACCCTGTTTCTTGGGCCAGTGGGGGTACCTGATGTCCGACTCAATCAAGACATACAGGAAGCCTCTCTAACTCACAGCTATCACACATCTGGATCTCATCAGTGTTATGTAAAATACTGAAAGTCCGTATCAGATGGGACAGTTTTCTCCCTCAAGCATCTATACCTCCTTTCCAGTCTTCTGAGCACATGCGCCTTTGTCATTCTGCAGCTATTCATGATAAAATTAAGCCCCTCCTTTCTCCTTTCCAATTATCTAGATTTCAACAGACAAAGGTGCAAAGTCTTCCAAAATGTCCAAACAGCAGCAGTGCAACTGCCAGCAGTTGCTCTTTTTTCATTACAACAAACAAAGTCTATTTCTTCAAAGCTTCTCATGTTCATTTTGTGTTTTAACAGACCTTGCAACACCACAGAGAAATACCATTTTCTGTAGGTGAACCCCAAAAGCATGGGGCAATAACCTCAATACAATTTAGGAAACCCAGAAATAAAGAACTCTGAATAACCCGCGACCTGCAAAACACTGTAATCTAACTGCATGGCAGGTGTTAAAGAGCAAAGTTTTCTTGAGAACAGCCCAGAGAAATAATCTACCAAGTCAACTCAGAAGCAAAACAGTGAGCAGGAAAGCTGCGAGATGTTCTTTAACTGGTGCTGCAGCATTGCAAGCTTAACTCAAACTTTCATCATCCTAATATTTTATTACCTTTGCTCTCCATGTCTAATCAACCTCACTGTTCATTCCCTTCAAACACGGCTGGCCTGCCAAGCTTAGATGCTCATTTCTACTAAGGGAATATATTCTAGCAACAGCTTCTCCAGTATTAACTGCTCAATCTTCTCCTCTACTAATGTCGCCATTATGTTCTCCTGACCCAACCAAAACTAACTACATGTGGAACTGCCTATTAGTATTAATGTCCTTTTGAGAATTGAGCTCTCAGCAATGTTTTATTCGTTTTCACTGGAATTAGGATGAAATAATGTTTCACGCAAAACAGATGTCAGAAGAGGTTCCGTGAGGATTTTTCAATTGACCTCAAATCCCAGCTTTCCTAATAAATATCTCAAACACTGCGCCAAAGGACATATTCCTGGTTGTGCAGAACCTTATAGAAGTACACAGAGTCACGGGATATCTGCCCAGAAACCAAAACAAAACAAGAAATGAAAGAGAGGGATGGGGCGGCAACAAATCACATGGGAAGTATCTTTAACCAGAATAGCTACAGTGTCAGGATGCATTTCTGCAGTGAGAACTCTACATACAGCATCATGAAAGAACACTATCAAAAAGACCCCAACTTTTTGCGCATTCACAGGGATCAGGACAGGCTATTTGGCGTAACAGTCTCTTTTGGTTACCTTCCCAAACGTGACTCCCCTCAGCATATCTTCACTGTTCACAGGAAGACCAGCTAGGCAGGCTCCTGACCTCCAGTTCGCCATAATTCAGTGTACTAGTAAATTCAGTCTTACCTCCTTGTCCAAGAAATCAGCTGACAAAAATCTAGACTTATTTTATTAAATTACTTTCAGTGTCTATTTAGATGGTTGCTTTGAATAATAACAAACAACTGAGGTAGCCTATGATGATGATTATACCGCTGCAATATATCTACAAAGAGGCCTGGGCTCTTAAACGAATACTCACACTGGCGTGTCTCACTCCTGCAGTGTGAAATTGTCCATTATAAAACAAAGCAGAGACACAAAATATTTATCTTACCAAAATTGAACTCTCTCACTTTTCTTCTCCCAGTATTGGCAGCTTCATTAGCTGACTCCGTGTTCTTAGGCCTCTTGTTAGGGGGCAAGTAGTCGTCATCATCTTAAAGAAACATAAAAATATCACTGGTTTAATGTCCAGAGAACTCATGTGCAATGCTGGAACTGCTTTGAGTTTCAAAGCTCTAATGCAAGTATTGAACTGTGCTTTCTCAAGGCATCAAATTTTGCAATGCACCTGTCTGAGTAACTTTAGAGAGCTACTGGCCTGTAGGAACAACCTGTGTAAGAGAGCCAGCACAAGGCATAAGACAGCAAAAAGCAAAACTTCTTCTGTACTTCCTAAGGAAAACAATACTGTGTTCTGAGACATGACTGGACATCTCATGATTACAAAATGACCAGGCAACAGCAAAAGAAATCAGGAAATAAATTGTAGCATAGGCTACATTTTTTTATCTAATTGGAAGTATCCTTCCCTTAAGTCTTGAAACACCGTACCTGAAGTTTTATGTTGAAGAGCTCAAAGGTACTAAAACTGCTTTCAAACCAATGTAAGACTGATGGACATAACCGAAATTCATTTAATAGGCCAGCCCTACCTCAAATACACACAGAGGGGGAAAACTGCAACCCACAGGTATTTTCCAGTGAGCTGCTAAGCCAGTCACTTCCCAGTCCAAAACACTATCTTCCCTACCATTTAACGATTTTTTAAAATTGTCCAATTACCAATACCTGTAACCTTAGAGAAAAGAAATGGTTAAAGCAGACAAAGAAAATGAAAGTGAATTTCACATACAGAATAGCATCTGCCCAGGCCACCAAGGGTATAGTTGACTTAGGAAGAATAATATTACATATTGACATCTCTTGCACCTATGCAGTTGTGTCATATTGTTAAAGAAAACCTTTTCAGAGCATTTTTACTTTTGTGGTAAAGGGGTTTACATATACACAGAACTTAATGACTATTCTCTTACTACGTTTTCTGTTGAGGTCATGTAAGAATTATTTTACTGCTGGATTATAAAGAGGTGAAAGTAATGCCAGAAGCATCAACTTTGTCCTAAAATGCATTGCCTAATTTCTAAATAGCTAGTTTGGTCGTCTTAATCTTACCCATTCCAGAAGTGAGCATTGCAAAAACCAACCTCTGAAGTGTTTTAAAGCACTTACAGCACATGTAATTCACAAATATAAGAAATACAGCTGACTTCTAACCAACATCCCAGCATGAAAACAACACAGGCACTGACTAGTGGCTTTAGTACCATTTAGATGAGAAAGAGAGGTTGGTAAGTATAAAGGGGTTTATCTCCTATTTATCAATACTAGACTTATACCACCTGTAACATCAATTCTGTTATGGTACAATTCTTCCCAGCAGGTAGTGTTAACTACAAATTTTACATAACTACAGTGTGCTTATAAAACAACGTGTTCTTCAGAATGAATGTTGTAAAATCTTTTTAAAATCTAAATTAATAGCTGTTAAATAATGAGTATTCTTCATTAGCAAGGCTTGAAAAAAATATATGAAAGATGCAAATCTCTGTCACACACCATTTCAAAACCAGCCCACTAAGTCCAGTATGCTTTAGTATATTGTGGTTTTATAGAGCTCCTGGACTAGGTATTACCAAGCAGTACACAATCCAAACTGCAGTCAACGCTGGCACATAAACCTATTTATTCAGTGCCAAGTAATGCAGGTACTGTAAAACGTTTTTGGGGCATAAAAATGCCCAATGGACTGAAATCAATAAACTGGAGAGCAAACCTTCGATGGTGACCTCGACCTCAGGATCCTCACTGGTTTCTGAAGGGGCATGCTGGGTGGCATCTGAAGGGGGAAAAACAGGACGGCTGAATGGTGGACACAGAAAAGATTTTTAACCAAATACTCCATGATTTTGTATTTAAACTAACCCTTGTCAAAGCAGCCCTCTGGCTCGCTGAAACGTTTTGCATTCACAGCGTGCAACAAAAACAGAAGCAAAGATATTTTACCATAAGCCTTTGAGCAATTCTAGACAAGGGTAAGGAGGTGGGGATTATACTTGCTAAGTTGCGTGTGCAGCAGTGCAGAGTTCGTGTTAATGACAGTAGGAAATTCCTTATTCTTGGCTTAATAGGATTAATACAATCATAAATATTTTTCTCTTTGTTATCAAGGATTACTGAAAATATAAACAAAGGCTGCGTGCCCCTACAGATGATGTATTTCTTTACCATTTACAGAGACTCATAGTTGTTGTACTACAAAGACTTCCATAACAGGCTGCAAGGCCAAGAGTGAAAAATGAGAGGGAAATTCATAACCACAATGCTTTCGTTGAGGCAGTCTGCATAGGATTAGGCCTATCAGTACTTGGTGGGAGAAAGAGCAATTTGCATGTAACTGCAGTGAAGTTTAGAAGAGTGAAGCTAATTATATTGGAAATGATTGCAAAACTCAGTAGCAGTGTATGAAGGAATATATTTTAATTAATCTGGCAGAGTAATGCTGTGCCTGTGCATTTTGAAGAGTATCTTCTTTCAGATCTCTGTAAGCTGGAAGTATGATCTCGCTTTGGGAGCAAATCTGAAAGAATCTCTGTTTCAAAGGCTCTTCACACAATGTTGTGTATGGTAGAGGTTCAGCTGTATCCACTGAGACACCTTAACTAGAGCATATTCAAACTATGTCAAATGTATCATCTAGTTTGTGGAAAACATAGTATGGCGTTTTGATCTAATTCAGAGTGAGTGCCTGGTAGACAACTAGCAAATGCAAAGCACAAGGAAAAGGAAAGAATTAGGACGTAATGGTCTTTTAGTAGATGTGAACATAAAGTATGGTCATAAAAATAACTATCGCATCAACTGATCACTTAGAAGCTTTCCTGTGAGCATTAGAAAAAAGTTTTAAAAAAAATACAATTTTTGGAAATTTAAGAACAGCCACGAAGACTGGCAAATGGTCCATCTAATCCAGTACCAAAACCCCAAGAAACAGTCATAATTAAGAGGAACATGCAAAAATGTCAAAGCAGATGGTAACAAAGTTCTGGGGAAAAAACACTAAAGTAAGGGGTTTTTTTTAACAAAGTACTATCATTACTAGTTATTTTTTTATCTTAGGTAAATACACACAGCTCCTAAGCAGCAGCCGCCTTTGCAGTTCTAAATGTTGTCAGCCACTGGCACTGCCGCCAGTTTCTCAAACGTGATTTCATTCAGTTTAAAACAACTTCTTCTGATACACGTAACCTTAACTTTCCGATTGCTGAATTTCAATCACACCACACCCCCAACTCATCCAGTCTCACCAAGACCTCAGACACCTTTATCAGCTACAGCTCATCTGGGGGATTCCAGGTACATGTTAATTTTACCACTTCCTTTTCACCATCTTGTCAAGGTTACTGGAGGGGAAAAACCAGTGAGATCAAAATCAAAAGATACGTTCGTACATCCCTCTGATGTTTTTCTTTGCAGAAAAAAAATCACTTCTGCAAATCTTCTGCATCACAGGCTGTAGCTTTCAGACAAACTTCTGAAGAACTTTAAATGCTTATTATATGTATTTCTTTAATAACGGTTAGACTTCAAAGTCATCATTTGTCATCATTTTTTCTTTCTTATTTGTTTTTGTGAGGATCAGCAATAAATAATTATGTTTTACAGAATCCAGACAGAATCGTATGCTCTATGCCTATTTAAACAACAAATGAAATTTAAGTTAGACTGTTACCTGCAATTTTTAATCACTGTCTATAGACCTTTTCATAAGTAACCTTCAAAAACAACAGAATTCTTCTATTCAGCAAAACCAGGGCACAACTTTCGGCATAACTCTTGCAAAAGCTTATAAAGGAGAGCAGATTGGAGAAAAGGGTGTGTAACAAAACCATGTTCTGACGCAAAGGGCCACACTCAGCATCTGTAGCTATAAAATTCTACATAGTCAAAACCAAAGCACAGCCAGAGTCTTGGTCATTTCATATCACACTTCCCTTTCCTGAGGCTCTCTCTTCACGGTCAGGCATAAAGCTCATGGCATTATGCTTAAGAAAACAAAGTACCTAGGTTATTTCTTCTCAAATAAGTAGAGTTAATAGTGCAGTCAGCAAGAGCAAAGAACTTTATTCTCCTTTATCAAGAGAAATGCTTTTAAATTACATGTAATAGTACCCTTAAATACGGTGATATTTACCTTCAAAGCAAAACTCATGGGATTTGCAAGAAGGAGTATTGCTGCTAGCATAACCTGGCCTTAACATCCAAAAAATACTCATGACTGTTTTGAGAGTCAGGTGCTTAGAATGAAACTAGCTGAGAACGATGTACTTGTAACATCATGTCAAAGCATTAAATGCTGGGTGACAAGCACCTTAAAAACGCTACTTATGATTGAAAAGAATGACGACTCCCGTCACAACTTGCTTATGGCACAGAGCAGCATGATTTGGGAGATGAAAAGCAAAACAAAACAAAAAACCCAAAAGCCAACCTTGTGGAAATGTGGAAAGAGAATGGTTGGAGAAGATGTACAGCTTTTATTAAGATGCCATCTTTTCAAATATTTCTGTAAAAAAATATTCAATGATGTTAAATTATTCTCATGAAAAACATTTCATATCTCTAACCTTCTACCGATATTTCCACATCTGTTCCTTCACTGCAATCGGAACCCTGGTGGCTTCCTTCAGACAAATATAAAGTAAAAAACATACTATAATAAAAATACAAAAGGTACTTTCAACATCGACTATTCAAAGCAAGGATTTTCATAAGCAAAAATCTAGAACTATAATGTTCACGTGAACAAGATACAGAAGGCTCAATTTCTGAATCTTGAATTCATGACAGCAGGAGCGCTCTGACATTAAAACGAAATTCATGGGTTGAAATGCAATTAGTATTTTCTAGTGTTTTCAAAATGGGCAAACCAGTGGTTTTAATACAGACTGTAAGAAGCTGAAGACAAATGTACAGTTTGGGAGTAAAGTTATTTCAAATATTGTTCATATACAGCAACTCCTTCCACTAAACACAGGCTTCCCATGTACTTTGTTCTGTATATACCCATTCTCCTCATACACAGCTGAAAGAAAGAAATTATCAAGTTGTACTCATAACACATAAGCAGAAGTTTATTAAACTTTATAACCAATTATGAAACCGACTGAATTTCATGAGAAACATACCGACTTGCACAAATTACTAGTGCTTTAGTAATCAACCTGATGCTCCTTTTCGAATTTAGAAAAGAGAAATGAGATTCCCTTCTATATGACCCTACTTGGGACACCTGAGAATTAAGGCAACTGAAATTTTCATTTCTGTTGAAGTTTAAGTTTCAATACCTTAAAACTCTTACTTCAAATCAAGGAAGCAGAGCCTTGAAAAGTAAAAGTAAACCACACACTTTCAATTTCCAACACAGATGTGAGAAAAAATACAACTAAAAGATCTACCTGTGTAACTTTTTGCAAGAGCAATTTTTTCATCCATCTCTGATGTTTCGGAAGGGCCTGCTGGGGAACAAAGAGAACGGCTTTTAAATTGTGTCTCACAACAAACGCATTTTCCCAATCCAAGTAACTCCTAACTTCATGTATCATATGCTCATTTCATACTTTCTGTAATGTTGAACTTGGGAAAGACCGTGTGAAATATTAGGAATCTATAAATCCTTACTCATCCAGTTCAACAAAATAAAAAAGTCGAAGGGCTAATGGCAGGGGTGTGCATTTCTTGGAATACTGAACAGTAGTACTACAGACTCATGCGGGGCCGCAGATTCTAAATTTTTTTGGTGTTAATAAACTAATTTTAAAACATAAAGTCTTGGTGGCTCTGCCTTTTTTCCAATGAATTTTTTAATCAGCTAAATCTTTCTCCTGTTTGTTAAAATTTGTACTCCTAGGGAGTCCTTTTTGACTTTAAAATTTCTACCTACATTAAATAGACAAATTCAGGAGATTAAGATCATTTATGACTCTTCAAGATTGTTTGCTTTTCATCAAAACAACTTTTTTGATAGCTATATGCGGACTGCGTTAAAAAGGCTGCCGCATAAAGCAGCACACAAATGACACTTAAAAGATTAAATTAACACCCCTAAAATCCTACCGCTTAATGCTTTGGCACTCCTGCAGTTACACAGAAAAGAGTGAACTGCTTACAGCACAAATGGCTTCACATGGAGCACGAGGTCATTCTATACCACCAAAACAGCACAGGTATATAAAACTAGCCTGTGTGTGGCGTACGGGAACGTATAGGACTGACTACAACTGAAGGATCTGCACTAATTATTCTGTGTAAATAAAATCATTGCTGTGTTCATTTGCAAAAGTAATCTGCAGAAGATCATATACCTCCCCAGAAATTAGGGCTGTTTAGAGGTAGGTTTAAGAAGTGTATCAACAACAAATATTAAGAGCTTCACAACAGAAAAAGCTACTGTTAACTAGTAAGGCAAGTGAAATATTTTAAACTCATTATTTCATACAGACAGTAAGAAAAGATAGAAAAGAATGTTGTCAGACTTAATGAGTATTTCAGTCAACTGAAAGTGCATGTATAGTATCCAATACTATGAGTTATTCAAGAAAATTAATATTTAGAGATTAAATTTTTAAAACACGATTACTAGGTAGTTAGAATAATGTTTGGTTGAGACAGTTCTGCCTAATTTGATTGCTCAAATTTTCAAATGGATTTTAAATTAACAGGATTTCAAGTGCAGAACCTGTACAAGAGACTTTGATTTACATGCATTTCTTTCAGTAAGTGCTGCTTTAACCCGCTCCTGCCACTTTTTCTTTGCTGAGGGGTAAGGTTTATTCCTATTTGCCTGTTTAACTCCGAGGAGCTCCCCAGTTTGGTTCAAAACGCAGCTCCAGAAAGAACGGTACTGGTACATCCCAGACCAAAGTCCAATGACAGGAAAAAGCTCCAGGGAAGAGGAGCAAGGCAGAAGCCAGAGTCACTGGTGGTGTTCTCAGCCACAGGTGAAGAACATCTCATCAAAATAGTGTGATTTACAACTGTTATAGGCAAGTGGGAATAGAACACAGCCTCCTTGGGTATGCTGGAAAACGTCTCCATGGACAAAATTTGCTTTTATTTAAATAAACGTATTCCGTGTTGCAGCCAGATGGGAGAGTCATTTCCTAAGAACTCTTCTGAACATGCAATTATTATAATTCACAACGCACCGACACAGAAGCATGCATCCCATTATAAGCAAGTATCCTATTATAAGCACATGTTTCTGTGCTTATTCCTTAATTCAGAAATCTTGACAGGATTGTTTTACCTACATATTCTGCAATAGTGTCTATATTGCATTATCTTCAAGCCAAATATACACTGCGACACAAATAAAGAAAGAAAAATAGGAGACTTTTACATGTTCAAACTTGAAGAAAGATTTCTCTAGTTAAACAGATACACTTACTAGGCTTGCAGCCCCTGGGATTAAGCACAGAGAATTCAATCCCTGCATCTTTAATGTCAATAAACCCTACAGTACATGTAGCAAATCCATCCGATTTTTTAAGTGACCCACACAGATTATTCTATGAAACTTGGAGCTTTTTTTTTTCATATGATGAAGCTTTGACAGAGGAAAAAACAGTATGAAAAAATTGTTTCAGCAATTAAAAGGTGTAAAAATATATTCTGTTAGCTTAATTTGTTAAAGATGAGAAAATGAAATTTAAAAGAATTCTGAAAGTTCATTCATGCACATTACATTACTAAGAAAACCAAAAACCAAGCACAGTGGTAAAACCATTTACTTACACTAAGTTCAAATCCCTCAGCCTCAGTTTCTAAGGGATTATGTCCTAACGCTACACAGCCAAACCTGTGCCGCTCGGCAGAAGCAACAGATTTATCTCATGGATTAGCATCATCAACGATGCTCATGTTTTGGGTCTTTATTTTGCTACACAGATGGCAGCAATGTGAACAATATGTAATTACCAGGGTGTCCTGGTTCTGGCTGGGATAGAGTTAATTTTCTTCCTGATAGCTGGCACAGTGCTGTGCTTTGGATTTAGTATGAGAAGAATGTTGGTAACACACTGCTGGCTTAGTGGTTGCTAAGTAGTGCTTACACTAAATCGAGGACTTTTCAGCTTCCCCTTCTTCTGCCAGGGGTACAAGAAGCTGGGAGGGGGTTCAGCCAGGACACCTGACCCCAAGTGGCTCAAGGGCTATTCCAGACCATACGGTGTCAGGCTCCATATATAAATGGGGGGAAAGCTGGCTGGGGGGCTGCTGCTCGGGGACGGGCTGGGCATCGGTCGGTGGGGGTGAGCAATTGCATTGTGCATCACTTCCTTTGTATATGCCTTTATTTTTTTTTTTTATTATAATTATTTTATTTTGATTATTACACTGTCTTTATCTCCACCCATGAGTTTTCTCACTTTTACCCTTCTGATTCTCTCCCCGGTCCCATGAGCAGGGAGTGAGCGAGCAGCTGTGTGGGGCTCAGCTGCTGGCTGGGGTTAAACCCTTCTTCTGCCAGGGGTACAAGAAGCTGGGAGGGGGTTCAGCCAGGACACCTGACCCCAAGTGGCTCAAGGGCTATTCCAGACCATACGGTGTCAGGCTCCATATATAAATGGGGGGAAAGCTGGCTGGGGGGCTGCTGCTCGGGGACGGGCTGGGCATCGGTCGGTGGGGGTGAGCAATTGCATTGTGCATCACTTCCTTTGTATATGCCTTTATTTTTTTTTTTTATTATAATTATTTTATTTTGATTATTACACTGTCTTTATCTCCACCCATGAGTTTTCTCACTTTTACCCTTCTGATTCTCTCCCCGGTCCCATGAGCAGGGAGTGAGCGAGCAGCTGTGTGGGGCTCAGCTGCTGGCTGGGGTTAAACCACGACACAGGGTAGTATCAGAATGCCTTTAGGAAACACAACATCATGCTTTCTTGTTTTCTGATATAGCCTCTGGAATTTCTTGGTTTAAGATACTATCTATATAATAGGGGTTGGACTAGATGACCTCTAGGGGTCCCTTCCAACCCAAAACATTCTATGATTCTATGATCTACATGCTGAGTCTTACCTTATGGAGGTTAGAGTACCACCAGCCTAGCTTTACAGTTTAAGCCCCATTAAAATGGACATTGCTTGTAGTATGCTGGAAGATCTCCAAAGGAGAAATATTTTGTCGTCAGAGGCACGTTAAAAGATGTTCATGACTTTCAATGTTCCCGAGTGAGAATAAAAGCAGAGTTTACTTCCCATTTTAGGCTTTTTTTTTCCAGCAGAAGATATTTTCAATCTCATTTGGTTTTGGACAAAAGTCCTGTATTTTAAGTGCCACACTCCCAGAAATTCCAAAACTGATAGCACTGTTCAACCTCATGGTGCTTTAGAAAAAGATGATGTTAGGCAGTTGTTTACTAAGTGGTTTGTAAGCTAAACCAGCCAGTTCATTAGACAGCGGTTTATAAGCTGAACTGGCCAATTCACAGGACACATTGTTTACAGCCTTTTCCTTCCACTTCCAGTTCTTTTGTTTTAACTTTGAGGGGTCAGTGGTAACTGAAGATTTGCATCCACAAAATTCATGGGATAATGTGCCTCTTTCAGGAAACATTTGGTCCTTAGTCAGCACGTTACTCAGTTCTGCATGGGCTATGTCTCCAAAAAGCCCTGTTTTACTCTGCTGATGCAGTGGATTGAAGATGGTACATATCCCCAGGGAATTTTCTTAACATATTCCTTCTTTTTTGTAAATTGGGAAAAAGAGGAAAAAAAAAAAAAGTATAGCTCTTAATTCTATTCTCTTAATTGATTCAGAGCTGCTCTCATTCTGGCACTCATGACATTTTGATCTCATTTTTTCCATGAAAAGTCTTCAAGATAGCCTGGGTCTCGTAGACAGTCTTCTAGTGAGATGCGAAGGTGCATGACTCTTACTTTACAACACATTTACGCATCCGCTGAACTGTCCCCTGAATGCAAGGAGGCTGGTATAGAAGTGAGGGGGATTTATGGGCACAGAGGTGTATTTGCAGTACAGAACACGCATCCTCTTCCTTGCCTTCAGGATCAGGCCTTGCACATAGCCAGCTGGTCTGGAGCTCGGGCAGAAATGAATGCTGGTCCCTCTGCAACAGCTGTGGAGACAGATCTAGTCCCCCACAGCATAGTAAAATACTTAATCTAAGAGTACAAACCACATTTCAAGGACTAAACCACATTTCAACCACTAAACTAAGAAACAGCATTTTAACTAATATTTTTTTTCGTAAGAGCCATAACAACTGGTACTTACAGATAAGGTGTATGCAGGAATATGAACTATAATAGCTGGAATGTGCCAGTATGCGTTATTTAGTCCTGCAGATCTCTCCTCATTTATTTAACAGTCAAAATATTTCTTCCAGAACAGGTTGTCTTTGGTGTCACTGAAAGCATTTAACACTGCAGTGACCTTCACATTTGTTCAGGACACTGGAAAAAAACATCCACTGCCATACTGCTAGTGCCCACCAACGGAAAATTGCCCCTAATACTCTGTCAAAACACCCACGTTAAGTTTTTGATGGCTAGAGTCCCTATTTGTCAGTCTTCTTACCGTGCATTGCTAAAAAATTTCTAAATTTAGCAATTCAGGATTAACTCATGGCAATATCCAAATGCTGCAACCTACTACAAGATAGTAAGAGATTAAAAGAACGTCCACCTACAGGTAAAATTGTCCCCCTGTTTGATTAACAGGAGAATTTTGTGTGCCACTGAGGCACGCAGTACTTTGGTCAGGATTATAGATTTGTGAGAGGAAGCAAACACGCAGGAAAAACAATAACCATGAATTTTCACCAGTAAATCATTTTCTCCAGGAAGCCCCAAGCAGATTGCTGTTCTCTAACAGTTAAGTTGTTTGTTCTTGTAAATCAATAAGCCCAGCTTTTGCTGTAGGGTATTTTTAGTAAGAAGTGTGACCGTGGCCATTTTCTTTATTTTGCAGCACGTCTCTGCAAAGGCAATTGCTTGGGCAGGCTTGCGTCACCCCTCAGGAGCACACCTCAGGATAACTGTACTTTTGTAAGGTTCACTTCTCTGCACAGCACCACAAACCCCTATGTGCCTCTTGGATTTATAGCTCTGTGCACTTTGTACAACCTTTGGCTTGAACCTGAGCATCAGCAACTCAGAGAAACAAAGGGGAAGCTGCTTTACTCCAGAGAAGGTGGCATGACATGACACGGTAACATCTCTTTTAGCTCACAGCAACCCATCCCTTCTTTTCATTTTTGCCTCATTTTAAATGGAAGCTTGGAGGACTATTCTTGGGAGGAGGGAAATGAGGAGTTATTAATTGAGCACCGTTTTATCTGAAAAAGATACATAGCGCTCTTCACTAGTCAGAAGATTTAAATTTGGAGTTCTGTAAAAGATAAGAGAAATTCCCCATCCACATTGCTTAGCCTGTATTATGGAAGCACATTGTACAAACAGGATTTTTGAGCTCAGACAAACACGCCGCAGCACAATGGGTTACTATCTTGCAAGGAAGCGATTTCAGTACAGACTCTCTTCAAACAGCACTGGATTACACTTCAGGCTATTGGCCAAATTCTGACATTGTTTTTACGCATGAAATGGAAAGCCACAAGGGGCTGAAAAGCCAAAAGATGACAGGACTTGGCTTTGGAAGGTACAATGATTAGGTTGTCTCCTAAAAAGTATCTGTTTTTACTGTATTACATTGTGCCTGTAACCCCCCAACATCCCCTGAGGCTAGGCAATGCACAAATATGAAGAAAAGATAATCCTAACACCAGAGAATTCTCCTTTCAAATTCTGAACTTGAGTGGTGATATTTTGCTAAGCCGTGTGGTTAAGATCTCTCTGAACAGTGCTCAACATTACCGGAGACGTGCCAGCATGAGAATACTGATTCTACAATCCTGTAGTTATTAAAGCACATGAGAAAATAATCACAAGAATCTTTGTGCCTGAAGAGGCACAAAAACATTATCTCAATAATGTGTAATATTACAAAACAAAAGTGTCATGGTTTAACCCTAGCTGTTGAAGGCACACTACACAGCCACTCACTCACTCCCCCCGCCCCCCGGTGGGATGGGGGAGAGAATCGGAAGGGTAAAAAGTGAGAAAACTCATGGGTGGAGATGAAGGAAGTGTAATAATCGAAATAAAATAAAACAATAATAATGAAAGAATATACAAAGCAAGAGATGCATGATGCAATTGCTCACCATGCGGCGAACAATGCCCAGCCCGTCCCCAAGCAGCGGCTCCCCAGCCAGCTTTCCCCCCATTTATATACAGAGCCTGACACCATACGGTCTGGAATAGCCCTTGGGCCAGTTGGGGTCAGGTGTCCTGGCCGTGCCCCCTCCCAGCTTCTTGTGCCCCCCAAACCTTCTCAGTCAGCAGAGCAGGGGAAGCTGAAAAGTCCTTGACTTAGTGTAAGCGCTACTTAGCAACAACTAAACCATCAGCACGTTATCAACGTTACTCTCATACTAAATCCAAAGCACAGCACTATACCAGCTATCAGGAAGAAAATTAACTCTATCCCGGCCAAAACCAGGACAGAAAGGATGTGCTGTTTGGCACTTCATTGCTCAACATGCCGCTGTCCTTCAGAGATGCATGTCAGCTCGCCTGTGTTCCTTTGAATTGCTCAATTAACCTAATGACAAACGCAAACAGGCTGAAATAATAAATTTAGTGTTCTGGTTATTTTATATGGCCACTTATAATCAGGACTTCTTAATTACTGTTCATTTCAACCTAGAGAAACAATGATTTCTTTTTTTCACTCCTAGTTGAGGTTAACGTGCAGTATTAACCAGACACATAGAGATGAGGCAAAGCAACTGAGAGACACCTTAAAATATACACAGGGCCCAAGGCATGGACCTCATGAACGTTGTTATGCTTTGTCTACATAAGCCATTCAATACCATTTTGACACATATTGGTCACTCTATGCAAGAAAAGTGATTGATACACTACAAAAGTTACTGAAACTTTAAACTAAAGAAAAGACCCAAGCTGTGCTTGAGCCAGTAGCGTTATTAGGGTTTATTTCCTGTTGAAGAGGTCACTGGAATTAGAGTCTGCATGCTGGACCCCGAGAAAAAAAAACAAAGCTGTTCAAAAGACTCCTGGAATTTCTCCTTCGGCTCAAACACACACATGCGGGTATGCTGAAGTTGTACTCTTTCAGTATTCTTCAGAATAATTTAAATGATAGCCAGCATGGAAAATGTTGAATCCTAATAGAACTAAGTAACCGCATGTTTAATGACCAAGAATAAGTAAAAAGAGAGGCAGAGAGAGAGCAACACTTAAGCGATCAACCCTTTTATGAGATAAACACGTATGAAAATTAGTATCATTACCTGGAATATTATATTGATAGTAGTCAGGATCATCTGATTCCTCCTTCACTGCTACTGTTGCCATTTCCAAAGAAATTCCTGTAGAAGCAATGAAAGAATCAAATATGTAAACTAATAACAACCATGTTCTTAAAAACAAACAAACAAACAAACAAAAAAAATCAAACTAAACACCCACCAAGATGCTAGCTTGTCTCTATTCAAAAATAGGGAAGGGAAAAAAAGTATTTTCAAATGCTGAGACACTAAACAATTCTTGAGCTAAAACAACGGTAACAAAGCAACCTGGCTGGTTTCTTATGTTTCAGATTGGTCACCATCAGAAAGGATTCAGGACGGAATGCTTCCCTGCAAACCAGAAATACTTGCAAATGCCATCTTGGTTCTGAAGAATCAAAAAGAATGGTCTCCTTCCTTTTTGCCCACTACCACAGCCAAAAAAAAAAAAAAAAAAAAAAAAAATACATCTATATTTTAACACTTGTTGTGCTGAAAGTACTTCTAGATCTACTCCTGCTCACTCCTCTGTACAGCCAAGTTCAGATACAGTCTGCATCAAACCATGCTGCTGATGGAGCAACACCAAAGGTCCTCAACTGCTCTTGGCTTCCCTCAAGTGAACTATCCCTTCCATAAGCCTCCACAGCATTCCCTCAAATGTTTTCAAAACATTCCAACAAACGGAGAATTACTTAAAATGCCCTGAAAGCAGCACTGGAAAGAGCCTAGGACTGACTTGACAAAAAGCTCAAGGTAACTCTTTGCATACATTAAGCCAAACATTAACCATGAAGGGTTCCCCAACCACAAGTTTAAAGTTGCAAAGCACAAAGAACTAGAGCAAAAAACTGGACTGAATAGAAAAACTTAAATTCTTATCCAAAATGCTGAGCCGTGTAGCCCAACCCAACAACAGGGAAAGTCACAAGCTTATCTCTAGGCACACCTGTCCTCTCACTGGCTTTAATGGGATTATTTATGCCTCTATCTCAAAGCATTGCTCTGCTGCAGATCCCGGTGCCTTGCAGGATCATGTCCTACCTGCAGGGGAACTTAGGAATGCTTGGTCATTTTTTTAACAACCAATAACACGTTTTGCTATTTATTTCCATTTTAACTAGAAAATGACATTCTGTCATTCTCAATACTTTAGTAATATAAACAAATAAACCAAGTTTTTATCTCCAAGTGATAAAGTAGTCTTGAAATAGAACAAAAGAAGAAACAGAGGCTTTTCTTCTCCATTTAAATCTAAACTATTTACAAAGATAAATCATTTTAGTCTACAAAATTTTACAAATCTCCTCCTCCTCAAAACAGAAACATTTGGCTAAAGTTAAACATTTGATAAAAATGCCTACTGAAAAGTCGGCATTTTTAAGGAAAGAGAAGTTTTTCTTTCTCACAAAGGATGTCTTTTTGCTGCTTTTTTCTTGGAGCTTCCTATTCTTGCTTAACTTCAGCCTCCTGAACAGAAACTTCAATTTTTTTGCAAATAAGGGCAAAATTTTGAACGTACCAGAATCCTCGTTTGGTTCCGTTTTCACTTGAATAGGAGGACAACTACAAAAATAAATGAATCAAGAACACTGACATTATAAAAAAAACCAAAAAACCAAGTATCACATTTCTGGAAAGTTCCTCAAGCTTTACAGGCTGTCAAGTAAAATCAATCTCCCAGTACTTTTTTTCCAACTAGGAACACAGAAGTAAAAAACCCTGTATCTTAGCTTATCTGCTTTCTCTCAAGGGAATTGCCAGGAATCTCCCATCACCACATTTTCAGGACATACATAATATTCAAAGCATGTTTACCATTTAATGAGAAGCAAACTCAGAAGCACAGAACCCCTTGCCATTTTACTCCCTGTTTTCACATTAATCAATTTTTTATTTATTCCAGATATAATCTCTTAATTTACTAACATAAAAATGTATTTTAATTTTTTAATTGAAGAGGGGGAAGGAAGCAATATTACATCTGTTCCCCATCACTTCCATATCATAAAACACGACAAACTTATCCCTGACTGACAGACTGTGAATTAAAACACTCATTGGGCTAATTAAACCAAGGGGAAACTTTGCCATCTGTTTAATTCATAACAGTTTCCCCACAAATAAAGGTCAAAAGAAAGAAAATTCAACTTCATGCTTTTTATAATCGGAGGCAAGCAAAAGTTATCCAAAGGTCAGCTGGACAGAAAAAGCACAATAAGAGAAAGATAAACTATATGAAAATAAATAGTTGATACAAAAAAACTACAGTATTTTAAATTCACCTTCCACCTGGAGGTATAATTGAATGTGAAGGATCTGTCATATGAGCTCCTGAAAGTTAAAAGACAATCTTTGAATTTCCTGTACTCCATTTACCTTAAATACAAATTGAAAACGTAACATGAAGCAAAAACCTGTTCACATTTTACAAGCATATGTGCATATTTTCTGTATTCACCGATATGAAGACAAGATCTCTTGTTAAATTGCTTTATTGATCTGTAAAGCAACACCAATATGAAATTGCTTCAAATGCGCGTAACACCATGCTTTTCACTGCTGACTTTCACGATGTTAAGTGAAAAATCTTGGGAAACAAAGTTAAGCAGATCTTTTACCTAAACTCTGCTAAAAGAAAATAGATTGTTTTATAGAGATTCCAGTTTAGTCCTAAATTACAGCTAGACACAAATAGATTATGTTTCTAGGAAGTCATTTACCACACTGAAAACCTGCCTTGCTTTTTCAACAGGTATTTTTATTACCAGAATCTCTGTAATTTCCCACTCTCTATCGAGTCTTCCTATGGGGCACAGGCAACACATTTTTAATTTTACTAATCCAGCCTCAATTTCTGGCTGTTTCACTTCAGAAAGTGAAACTTTTCTTTTTTGATTACATTCCTATAGAGATTGCTTCATCCTCTTCATAAAACAAATCCTCACATATATTTTGCAAGTAAAGCAACACGATCCCATGAAAGGAACAGAAGAAGGGATTTCTTCTAGGCCAGAAGGTATTTGCAGAGTTTTAAAAAAACTCACTTTAGCTCAGATTTTTTCATATATAGAGGCTTTCATATGAACTGCAACACCCAACCACTTCAGAAAGTTAGATCAATTTTTAAAATGAGATATAAATGCCAAAATCGGCTATGTATTGGAACATGGAGCGCTGCAAAGTCTTGGCATCTTCTAAAAACGCAATGCACAGTCCTTCATCAGTTCACTTCTCCTTTCCCTAGGATACTATCCAATTCACATTAAATTCAAATTCAGTAAAAGAATGAAGGATGCAACAGAACAAATTTTATCTCTAACTAGGCGCTCCTGGCAAACGCTTAAAGGAAAAGGTTATAGTTCCATAAGTAAAACAACTCACAGTCTAGGAATTTCTGCACAGTTTGCCACTTTATCCACATGACCAAATCTTATATCTATATTGCCATTTAAACTAGAATTCTGATCTGTTTCTGTTTAGTCTGAGTAAGTAGTAACTTACCTAGGTGTTTCTTTGGCTCTAAGAAAGGCCTGTATGGAAATATGGAAAGATAAACCCATAGGTTTAGTAAAGACATCATTACTGACTTGGTAGTGTAATATTAGAGAGAGAGCACTCCTGTTTAAGAGAAACAGACTGCAATGTATTTAACTAAAAATTAAAATTAATTGGACTTAATTTAAGTACAAAATCAAAGTGGACAGACCAGCACAAGAGAGAGCAAGTAACCTTTTGATGATAAATGAGATCCCTGACTTGTTTTCCAAAATCCATTTCAGGGTTGAAACATCGTAGTTTGCTGGGTGTTTAAATGCAAGTCCTTCGGGCAGGCCCTGCACTACCACAGCAGACTGGTCCCTCTGAATCTTCTCATAGGGCACAGGTACTACTGTTGACTTTCCTAAAGCTTTACCTAGGGGGAAAAAAGAAAAAAAAAGAAAAAAAAAAAAAAAGAAGATTATTTTGAGGTCAAGAGCGCTCAGGTTAGCAAAAGGATGAATCCATCATAACACTTTTTACTTTGAAGAGGAGCAAAAGCAAGATGCAGATGCAAATCCCTACAGGAAACCAAGTACTGCTTGCATTAACGTGCACTGGAACCCATCAAGATACAGAGGCTTTCTTGAAAGAAAACGAAATGGGCTGTGCAATCATCTCAAATCACATCCCACAAAACACATCAAGAAGAAAACGATCCAGTATACATGTATGTTTTAGAATCGGCTACTAAAAGTTAAACTTATCACCTTAACAACAGTATTGTTGGAAGGCTAAGATCATGCAGTACTTTCCTCCCAACTGGGATAAAAATTTAGAAATCCAGAACGACTATTTAGAAGACTTTAAAGCACCCACCATAGCAAAAGCAGAAAAAGTCCTCCACAGACTTTCTGAGAGCTTCTAGTTCCACCATATCCACTGTCAGTCTGTTTACAGGTGGTATAGTCTTTGTTTTCTGCAGTTCTGCAGCCTTCTCCTCTTCTGTAACACCTGGCAGTTATTTATAAAAATAAGACAAAAATAAAATAATAAGTTATTAAAACTTCCAGTACCTAGTCCCTCCAGTTTAGGCTATAGCACTTGGGAAGGATTCCTGCCAGAAAATCGTAAAAACTTACTTGCCTTAGAAGCAAATGCACTTATCTATGTACATGAGCAATGAGTAAATTTAAATTTACACCAAAACTATTATATCCTCCTTACAACCTCTGTAAATATCACCCTCTGAGGTGTAAGAATAATGAATTGAAAGACACATCCATGCAGGCTTTTTTTGGCATGAAAAGGTAGAAAACACTATTAATCTCAGGAGAGGATAATACAGGAACAATAAAATACAAAAATGCCACGAAAAGAAGGACCAGAGTCACCAGGGAAAAAGTAAAATGCCCATGTGGAGGGTCCCAGAGCTCTCCAGTGCTGTGCACAAGGTCTCATGCAGCAGTTATGGTTCGTTTATGCTGTCTGTGCTTGGCTGAACTTTTTATAGAAGGGATCTGACTTTCGCCACAACAGCTCCTCTATCTATCAAAAGACACTTGAAGTATGCATCTCTTATTGCCGAACAGGAGGAGCTGCAAACAAGCCATCATCCCGCAGAACAGAGATTTCAGCCCTACAGCTTGTCCTAGTCTCTGAGCAAAAGTTATTGCAAAAGGAGTGAGGCAATAACAACGCTTTCAATACTAAAAAGCAAATGGAAGTGATTGTTTCAGGTGGCAGCCACCTTTTCTTAGCACTCAGTTCTTGCAAAGATTTACTGAGAATCACCCAGCAAAAACAGGGGGAAATCAACAGAGATGTTCTGCATATGAAGGAAAAAGCAAGGGAGATCTACATTCGTATGTGCAAGAGAACGATCAGCGCTGAAGTTGCCTCATGACTTCACCGTGAACAAGCACAGCGGTAAGTCTGAAACGCTGCGGTTTGCATTACCAGTACTGCGAGCACCATAATTTCAGGCTAATATGAGAAAACAAACATCAGCTCGAACAACTGATTACAATCGGTTGTGAAATGAGCTGAAGCTGCAATGCTTTTAATAAACATGCATTTAGCATCTTAAAAACTCGTATCTTCATTTAAAAGAGAACCTATTCCTTCCTTGACAGATCACACGCCTGCTTTGCGCCCCAGAAACCCACCTCCACGTGACACTTAGCTCTCCAGCTCTTCCAGGCCTGAAACTTTTGCTTTCTCTGCAATATCACAGTGCCTACCATGACACAAAAATAATGCAAAAAATGGGATATTATTATTTACCCGTAACACAGGGGCTTAGGTAATGACAGTTGGTAAGGTTTGCCTGGAGACTTGGGAATAAGAGACATCAGTTCCCATTTATAGCTACATGCAATGTTGCTTTTTTGGGTGGTTTTTTCCCCACATAAGAGACTAATTCACTGAAAACGGCTTTACTGCCAGTAGCTTCTCAAAAGTGTACCCACGCTTTCTAAAAATAAGAAGCAAAACAAAAATAAGATGATGACAGCGGTCGCTTCCCATGAAAATAAAAAGCAGACAAAAAGACATTGAAATTTTCGTTCTTAACTAGTAGAAACCCTTATGGTTTTTGTTACATGATTTTTATCCATTTTCTTGAGCTCACATTATGCATCTGCCTCCCTAATCTCTCCCACGCTTGTTGGCCAATTTCAATCAAGCCTGACAAACAAGATCAAGTCTCAAAGACAGCAACATTCCCAAGAGCTCTGCCCAACTGATCAAACCTAGCAGCCATGCATCTCCTCCTGGCAGCACTGATGGACACATCTCCACTTGTTGGAGGCCACACAACTGACAGGCTCCTTCGAAGCTCTCACCACAATTACTAAAGCGCCCAATAGGATTCAGGCTATGCATGGGGCACATGCAACAAGATCTGGAGGGGAAGAGGGATGGGGGGCTGTATTTACAGGGTAAATGGCTCAGGAAGGGTGAGGAATGGTTATACAGTACAAAAATTGCATTCTACACAGCTGGGAGTATACTGCAGGATGAGTCCAGTTACTCTGTAAAACCTCATTTTGCATCGAGAGTCCACATATGGTTTAGTGTTTCTTTTCTTCTTGTACTATCCAGGTGTTTTGGTTATTCAGAACCACCTTTTCTCTTACTTATCCTGATCAGCATCAGACTGGGTTTGGCAGTCCAGCCTACCACTTGGGTGGAAAAGGAATCTCCCAGCTGTCACCATCCTTCTAAAATGAGTATACTATAAAATGAATAGACTGCTTTAAAATAAAAAAGGCCACTTACAAAAGTTTTTGTGACAGAACAAAAAATGGAATATTTGAAATGATATAATTTAGCAATCTTTTCTTGTTCCATGGCAGCAATTAGATAGCTACTCCCTGACCCCTGTATGGGCAGACTCTCCAGCTTCCAGCCTTAAATAGATGCTGTTATTTTTATGAGTTGTTGGGGAGAGTTACAGCTCAGCAGTGCTATATAGCACCTATTCTGAAGGTCCACTAAAGCATGGCCTGAGTGCAGCAGGCAAAAACAGGCCAGGAAGTGATCCGAGGGCTGGAGTCCCTCTCCTATGAGGACAGGCTGCGAGAGGTGGGGCTGTTCAGCCTGGAGAAGAGGAGGCTGCAGGGACACCTGACTGTGGCCGTTTAGCGCTTAAAAGGAGCCTACAGGAAAGACAGGGACAATCTTTTTATCAAGGCCTTCTGCAACAGGACAAGGGGTAATGGTTTTACACTAAAACGGGATAGGTTTAGACTAGATATAAGGAAGAAATTCTTTACAATGAGGGTGGTGAAACACTGGAATGGGTTGCTCAGAGAGGTAGTGGAGGCCCCATCCCTGGCAACATTCAAGGCCAGATTGGATGGGGCTCTGAGCAACCTTATCTGGTTAAAGGTGTCCCTGTTCCTGCAGGGGGTTTGGACTAGGTGACCTCTAAAAGTCCCTTCCAACCCAAAGCATTCCATGATTCTATGATAAAGAGCATCTGTCTTCAAAGCACCTTACTCAAAATGTAAGGGGGAAACTGCTGTTTGCAGGAGGTAGGCTGTGTTTCTGCTGCGGAGCAGAGGACGCCCTGCTGGGTCATCCTGTGGACAAGTGACAAAACCAGCACTGACTGCTTCTCACCGAAGAAAGAAAAATCAAGTTTTAGGAAATAAACAGTTTACTTAACTGAAACTTCCTCAAAACGTGACTTGAAGATGAGATGCTACACAAACAACAGAGGAAAGGTGGTAGGATTCAGTATCTGAAGCTGACAGAGGTCAACACTCCTCGAGAAAAAAGCTGTCAGTCCCATGGCACATAAGGCATCTTACAACATCTGAAGGTTTTCAATCAGGTGGTTTTTAATCCCCCAGGTAGAGCAAGCCAAGAAGCAATTGTAAGAGTATGAACATCACCCCTGCACAGACACTCCGAGAGGCAACTTAAGAGCAACAATTATTTTGTGGCAACACTCATGTACATAATTATTTGTTCTTAAGGAAAATTACTCACTGAAAATAACTAGGAGCAATAAAAGAGGGAAAGTAAGCGTGTGTGTGGCTAAAAGCATTTTGCTTTGTTTTACAACGTATCCACCCAGTTCATCTGTGAGCTTTTTAAAGCCATACAGTTTTACAGCTCAGGAAATTGGACAATAACCCCAAATTAAAGAAAAATAATTTTACAATTATCAAAGGATCACTTAAACCACAAGAAAAGCAAATCACCTGAGGCAGAATTTAGGAGCCAGGGAATTTCAAAAAGATGGGCTATCTACAGTAATTTTGCTTGTTTGCGATTGAGGGAATGAGATGGGTGGTCTCCGCTGAAATGCAACTGAACTTCCTTAGCAAGTTTTTTAAACTAGCTGTTAGCTTCAAACCCCGTGACTGGCCAGGCAGAGACAGAACAGGAAAGGCTTCTGACAGTCAAGCCAAGCAACCTAGCTCTAATAAGGCTGTGAAAGAGGCCAGTTACCCAAATCTGATATAAACCCAGAAAAATAGCATGGAGCTCTGAGCTAGGCAGAGCATGGCTAAAGCTAAAGGTGCTGGAAAGAACAGGCAGCCGTACGGGCACACGACCTGCAGGAGTCCCTGCTCCTGACACGTCTATGGAGCCAGAGCGGCACATGATGGAAGCAAAGGAAGCAGCCCTGAGGGAGGGAGGCAGAAAGTGGTCTTCTCAAAACTTGTGTTACATGCTTAGACTCAAGTTGTTTTAAAGGCATTTTTCTTTTCATTTTGAGAATTTGGGAAAAGGGGTAAACTGACTTGTAAAATAAGGAAAACTGCCAGTAATGTAAAACTGAAGTAAAGCAGATTAACTCACCCCTAATATCACGAGAAAGAGCTGCAAAGGAGACCGCCAAAAATGCATGGCTAGCCAGGGCTGGCCTTTCACCAGCCTGGGAAGATGGGGAAAAAAGAAGGGAAGGAGAACAGCAGTAGAAGAGAAGGAAAAGTATAGCAGGCCACAAGTTAAACTAAAAGATTGAATTAGTTCCACGTCTTTCCCAAAGACCTAGGCTACTAATGTGGAGTTCAGGTAATGAACACATATTAATATGTGAGAAATATGCAGCATGGGACAGCTCAAAAATCACATTCTTTGCATTTCAAAAGATTAGGCAGAAGGGGACTGTAAGCTGAGCCTTTTAAGTGAGCTCAAATGGTGACAGCAATGGCCAAAAAAAAAGCAGCTCTCAGTAAGAAAGACAGGGCTGATTACTTGCAACTGCAACTGTTTGGTGAGTGCTAAGAATGTTATCTTTAAAGTAATCCCTAAGCACATGATTTATTAGGAATAAACTGATCAGGTCTTTAAGGGTAGATACTTTAATTCATAGCTATATGAAACTTAAAATAAAAATAAATAAAAAAAAAGCTCTGTTCAGTTAATTTATCAGGAGGTTGCAACCATAACAGAAAAACTCCCTCAAAAACTATGGGTAGGGCAGAAAGAGATGCAGAACAGGAACCATAGCTTCCAATAAACAGAGTACAAGGTAAATGCTTTAAGAGACTGGGAAAGCAGAAGCCCAGAGCGCTGGAGGCAGTCACGATGTATATAGCAAAGCGCCCTAGCTTTCCAGCAGGAACATCCGAAGCTTCACACTTTTTATTAAATAAACAAAGATATCCCATAAGCTTTAGCAACCAGGGCACTCCAGGAATCTTTGTAGCGTCCTACAGAGACAGGGATCCCCAGAACTAAATTACAATGCCAAGGTTTTACAGGCATACAGAGGCCTGGGCTCAAATGCAGAAGACAGTCTTAGCTGCAGAAGAACAGGAAGGCAGCAGTTACTATGCCCACAACTCTTCCAAGCAAAAAGGATTATGAAACTGTTCCCGAATTAACCCCAGGCAGAGCCAGCCAGGTTAGCAATAACACATCACTAAACAGGCATGATGCAATCCGGCTGAAATAATGTAAAATGGACAAGGGAACACTCACGTGATCCCTTCCACTAGCAGAGATGCAAGGTCTTAACTCCCAAGTGACAGACATGGTAGGAGTAAATACGTTCTGTTTGCCAGCACGATTAGTCTGGGAAATGGTGATGGGCTACAGTCGGCGTGGCCAGGAGCAGCCATCCATCTCTTCTGGTCTTGGAATAATTTGCACTTCTGCAAATTCTAAGTCACCTGCTGCAAAAAGGGAAGTGAAACCTCAGGAACACAACCGAGAGCCACAGCTGAGTAAGTTCCCATTAAAAGTGACTGGGAAGAGCCTGTTCCAGCAGATACTCAAACAGAATAAGCACTTAGCAGAAGTTGTTTTAAAGAGGCCACTCCCAAATAGCTGGAAGGAAAACTGTCATGAATAAAGAGGTCAAGAGTTACAGCGGTGTAAAACAGCTCTGGCTTGGCAACAGAGAAGTATCCTGACAGCCATAGCTTTAAAAGCAACTATTTCAACATCCTTTTTTCCCCACTATGCATTCTATGAAGTGTACCCATTTTGCAGTGCACTGGAAGACCAAAGCTAAAGCAAGAATCATAGATACAGCCCCCCATTTGCATTTAAAATAGGTAACAGATTAATGATGGCATGCATGCAACTGCATGAGTGTTTTGTCAGGATTAATCCTCTGCCTGGCTCTCATTGTTTTTCTTGCATTTACTATTTATGTCTACAATTTAATGACTCCTTTCTCTTCCAAAATATTCTGTAGCTTCAGGAGCAGCAAAAGCCACAGAAGTCTCAGCTGGCTACAGAATAGTTTAGGGTCAGAGAAAATGGCTGTGGGAAACCAGCTTCCACACTAGCATAGCATCATCAAAAAGAACTGGTATTTTTTAACTAGCTACATTAGTGTCAAGGGATTGGCCTTTGAGCAACACAAAAAGATGTCAGCTAGTTACAGAATGGTATTTTCACTGTAATACCACAGCACATAATCAGTGACAAAGACAATGATGAAGATTGTCCTTTCAATATTATAACCGGGCCTTATAATGAGGACAAATACGATCGATAGCAGTTAGATCCACTAATAACCCCTGTTATGAGAGTAATACTGAAAAGGTATTAGGCTGCTTCCACACTGGTCAGGAGATTCAGTCTGCACTCAATTTCCAGTCTGAGACATTCCACTTTAGAGCTGAAAAGCTAAACACCCCATTTAGATACTGCTGCTGAACTACGGGCATGACAAGCAAGATACACGCAAGAGGTAATCACAACAGCGAGGAAGAAGCAAATCAACTGCATTAATAGTGTATTTACATCATTACTGGAGCATCCAAAGAAAGTGCCATGAAAAGACCACATCCAGACTAGCAGTACAGTACACACGCTAACTAGCAAGCTGCAGTGTCAGGGGCTATCTCAGCAGATTTAATCAAAGATAATTTTAAGCACAAGTCTAAAATTAACCCAGAGCTACTGAATTAATAAAATATCCACACTACTGTAGCTTGACTCCCACCTATCACCTTCTAAACACAAGATCTGTGCATGATACTCTCAGGCCTGCAATATCAGAGTCTGTTCAGCATTGCTTTTAGTGAAAGCACACGGACAATACACAGATGGGATCAAACACGTAAATAGCTTCATCCATTAGGAAAATGAAAGAAAGCAGCAAGACATGCCAGTCAGAGCTTCAGCATGTTAAAATTTATATTTATACCAATATGCTATACACTGAGCTTTGGTTAAAAATACTGGAGTCATGTATTTCTATACCATGCTTTTTGGATATTGTCACCTACAAAAAGAACACAGTTCAAGACAAAGATACTGATTTTTTGAGCTAGTTAGATGCCTACAGGTAGATGTCATGGGGACTTCCAGAAGCTTTGCTCTAGGTTTTTAGGCACCTAAGTAGCTTTGTAGATCTGGCCCTGTTGCTAGCATTGCTTTTATTATTGCCAATATTGGAACTAATTGCACCTGTGATGATGCAATGGTGAATATTAACACTTTTTAAACCTCAACCGCAAGAGAAGTATTGACTATTTTATTTCACAAAATACTTCCGAGTTTGAAAAAAAACTTATTAGGCAATTTGGAGTGCATCTACCCCCCATCAGTAAGAAACAACTTCACACAGACAGCAACAGGCAAACAAACAAAAGGAAGCTGCTGCCTTCACACAGCTGGACATCGGGCTTGTAGTGTCCATGTGCTCTTGACTCCAGCCAGTGCCACAAATTCCTCTGTAGGAAAAGTCCTCATGCAGACAGCAACCACAGAGCTCGTATTCACTGCTGGCGAGATCCCTTGAAGTGAGCAAAGCCACCACTTCTGATGAAAGCATACCCAGAGCATTCAGATTGCCTTCCAGCTGTCCAGGATCTCAGCACTGTGTATATGGTACCACCAAACAGCCCCAAGCCCGGGTGGAGCACACTGTGTTCGCTGACAGCACATCTGCTGTGCTGCGGTATTGCAGCTACGGACACAGGACAGACACTTGGAACATGTGAGCAGCTTTGTCCTGTGCAGTCATAGTTTAAACATTAACACTTAATGTAAGAATAAATGACTTTTGTCACTTAGGGAGCAGCAAGAGTAAGATTTCATGAGGAGAATCCCTAGAAAGAGATCAGGAAAGCAAGCTAAGAGGGGAAAGCGGAGATGCAGGCATGACACTTTCCATCTCTGGTGTCCAGCACAGACAGCATCCAGCCTAGCAAAGTTCTGCCACTGAAGGGAACACAGAAAGCAAAGACAGAAGCAGTGACTTGTACCTCTTTGGCACAGCTGGGAAGATACTGCCTGGAAAACAAGGTCTAGGCAGTAACAGATTTGCTTTAATCCCACACAGGCATCCTCCAGCCTACGGGATGAACAGCTAGGGATGAAGTGGATGGATGCTCATCACATATCAGAATCCCATCTGCACATCCTTAAAGACCAAAGGATTGCTGGACAGTCTCTGTGCGTTTGAAACCTTCTAAGATATCAAGCCAAAAAGCTCATTTTCCACTGAGAAGAGATCCTGCACAGTGAACAGCAGCTTCTGTGGAAGCCAAAACCTGAAGTGAGGACAGCCTGACAGCCTGACCTCAGTACCAGGGAAGATTATGGAGAGGTTCATCTTGAGTGTGCTCAACCAGGCATATGGAGGACAATCAGGGGATCAGGCCCAGTCAGCATGGGTTCATAAAAGGCAGGTCTTGCCTAACGAACCTGATTTCCTTCTACGACCAGGTGACCCGCCTGGTAGATGAGGGAAAGGCTGTGGATGTTGTATACCTGGACTTCAGCAAAGCCTTCGACATAGTCTCCCATAGCATTCTCCTGGAGAAGTTGGCAGTTCATGGCCTAGATGGATGTACTCTTCGCTGGGTTAAAAACTGGCTGGATGGCCGAGCCCAGAGAGTCGTGGTGAATGGAGTTAAATCCAGCTGGCAGCCGGTGACAAGTGGTGTCCCCCAGGGCTCAGTTCTAGGGCTGGTCTTGTTTAATATCTTTATCAATGACCTGG